GACCTGCCTTGGGAAATTCAGAGACACAAAAGGACATCAGAGCAACTGGAGAAAACATAAAAATCAAAGCAAAGGAAGCACACTCAGGAGACAGAGGCAGAAGGATCTTTGTGAGTTCAAGATTGGTCGTGTTCACAAAGAGAGTTCCAGGATAGCAAGGGCTGTTTACAGAGAAACCCTCCCCTGAAAAAGAAAAGGAAGCTTGAGAAAGACATGTCCATCCACTGCTTGCTAGGCAAGCATGATTTCTGACTTCCTGTCTTCCTCCTCTCTGTTGGCAAACAGGAATGGTGACATATGCTTGGAATCCCAGCACTGGCAAGGCAGCCATCTGCTGATGACCGGCTCTCACTGTCAATGCCACCAGCCTAGCAGAATCACCGAGACCCGATATAAATGAGTGACCTGTAAACAAGGTGAGTGTGTCTTAGGAACAAACACTGAGGTTTTCCTGTGGCTTCCGCATACATATACACTAAAGGAATGTATGTGTACACAGAGACACAAGCGTATCCATGTACATGTAAGAAGAGCCGCAGATACACACAGACACAGTACGGGGTGGGGGTGGGGAGAGAGAGGAAGACAGGACAGAGAATGGAGAATCAGAAAGAATGAACTCAACTTTTGTGGACTGGTATGTCTCAAAGTATTTTGATTTTTGATTCTTCGAGACAGGGCTAGTGACCCATTCCAAAGCTCAATGAGGGCCCTACATGTCTAATGGTGACCTCAAGCATCCCGTTCTGCTCTACTGCCAAGGGCTGACATGACAGGTATTGGCCTCCCTCTTCATCTGTCCAGTGCGACAAATCTGTATCAGATACTAAAGCATGCTGGAGCAACACTCCCTGACTAAGTTGATCCTGAAACCATTTTAAAAATTTCATGGAGGGGTTGGAAACGGAGGTTTCTCTGAACTGCACCGTGCAGTAGCAGCTTTGAAATAATCCCTAGGCTGGGAGGTGGGGGTGCAAGACTTTAATCCCAGCATTCAGGAGGCAGAGGGAGGTGGATCTCTGTGAGTTAGAGGCCAGCCTGTTCTACAAGAGTTACTTCCAGGACAGTTAAGATGGACTGTTACACAGAGAATCCTTGTCTTGAAATACAATCAATAACAATAATCACTCAGGTTGTATTGATTACAAATTTTGTCCTATTGCTAAGGCTTATTACTAAATATCTCTTACAGTTAAATTAACCCATTTCGTTTGATCTATGTGTGGCCATGGCTCTACCTGTCTGCTTGTGTCTTGTGTCTTGGTCTTTGACTCCTGTCTCACATGATTCTGCCCTTCTTTCTCCCTGTTTGGCTTTCCCTCCTAGATTTATTCTGCCTTGTTAAAGGCCAAATCAGCTTTTTCATCGGCCAATAGCATACAGAAGGGTTATCCCACAGCAAGACCTGGTGTCAGGAAATGAAGGAAGGATCTCCTCTGGACTGAAAATTACTATGGATGCTGGATGCTGGCCACTTATGTTGTGTAGCTTGGGTCCCTCTTAGCAGATATTCACACCGAGAGAGGCGTCAGAAACTGGAGAAACAGTATCACAGGAGGAGAAGTGTCAATGCACACCATGGCCACTTTCAATTCCCAAAGCTCAGACAGACTAGCGACAGAGGCCCTGAGGGCCTCAGAAGAGACAGTCCCTGGCAGAAATGAGAAGGCTAGGAGACGGGCTGACTCCATGCAACCAAACCTCTAGCATTTTGGTGACAGTTCTGACCAACAGGCAGAAAACTACTTTGTTCTTCATGTTGTGTCATCATCGTTTTCAGAGCACAGACCAAAGTCACATCAACATGGATAGACAGACATCACGGGGAATGGGATATGGACTTCCACATTCTGAGGAACACCCAGGTCATGAGAGCCACACAGAGTGACAATCATGGCGAACATAGGGACTAAGAAACCAAAACTAGGGATTGTGTTGGGGGGGATTCTTCAGTTGGCAGAGTACTTGTCAAATAACAATGGGACCTACGTTTGTGTCCTAGCACCCGCATATAATGTCGGCAGCACTAGCACACAGTGGTAATCCCTACTCTTGAGAGTCTCAGAATGGAGTCTAGGAGAACTGATGAGCTCCAGAACTCATGGGAGACTGTTTCTCTAAATTCGCACTGGAAGGCCAACAAGAAGAGAATCATGAAGTTGAATTCTGGATCCAAGAAGTACACCCAGAAAGGAAGACACGGGCAACTAGGGAAAGGTATCCTGACTTGTTGGGAAGTCAGGCTCTACCTGAAGCTGTGGTATGGGGAGGGGTGGTCTCTCCACCAGATGCACCAATCCTGGGGCTCTCTCAGCACTGGTGCAGCTGAGCTCTGCTCCACCCTCCCAAGGGAGCTTCCCAGTAGAGGTATATAGCACAAATTCCAATTATTCTTAAAAAAAAAAAAAAGCCAAAAGAACCCAGAGTCAGATACTAGGGGGTGAAGGCTGAAGGATCAGAGCAGTGTGCCAGCCACTAAAGAGACCCTTTACCTTGACCAATGTTCAAACCGAGGGGCGATCCTGTCCTCAGACAGTCTCTTCCCATCTTATATTCCTCTCTCCTCCCAGCCACATCCCTATTGTCTCCACTTCCCTGTGCAGGGATTAAAGGCATGGGATCATAAGAACTAGGATCACATTTGTGTGAGCTGTTTCTCTTTTCGACAGATTCAATCTCCTCTAGCCCAGAGTGGCCTTGAACTAACAGAGATCCCTCTACCTTCGCCTCAACTAGTTCTGGGATTAAAGGTGTGTGCCACCACGGCCTGACCTCTAGTAGTCTAGCTCTGCACCCTGATTTTCAGGCCAGCTTTATTGGTTCAAACAGAAACTAAGTATCACTACAGAGAGGTATCCATTTCTTCTGTTCTGCTCCCCTAAGGGAGTATCTCAGCAGAGGGATCCATTTCTTCTCAGCTCTGTCCCAAGATGCTATTTCTGCTTCTCTGTGAAAAAGGAAAGGCCTGCAGGAAGGCGGTAGTCTCCTCTCCTCGGACTCCAGTAAAAAGTTGATACTCACCTGCCCTGAGAACTTTCTGCTCAGCTTACTCTTCTGCTTACTGCAGAACAGGGTCACCATGGTAGACAGGCTGTGCTGGCTGAGCCTGGGGAGGGCAGAGAGCCTTCCATACACAGTAGCATCATACAACCCCATACAGACATCAGCATCAAGCCTTCCAGAGCCTGGGTTTCTTTCTCCAGGACACACAGCACTGGGTGTATCAGTGCAGGGCCCACACACTCACCTGAGCGTCATTCTGACCGCCTCCTTCCTTCCTCCAGGACCATCCTTGTGTTTTCTTTTGGGTAGAAGGGTCTCAGGGGACAGATAAAGCATAAGTGTCCATGGGGGTGGGGGTGGTATTGGGGTTGTTTTCCGTGGGTGTCCAACCCTTTTCAGAGGGTCCAAGTGACTTGCTGGTATAGCCCCTATAGATGGGGAAGCTGGGAACACAGAACCTTTTCAGATCCTGCGGGCCACTCAGAAGAACCCTTCTTCCTGCTGCCTGTTTGGGAGGTTGCAACTTGAACCTGATCCAGGAGCCAGACATGTGGCAGAGCAGTACAGGTCTGGTTCCTCTGCTGGGAGCAGTGACAGAGGAGGGGTCTGACCCAGGTCTGGGTACCAGACTGTGCGGTTGAGCGGGGCTAGCTGGGGATCTGGAGACAGATGGCAAGCAAAACCCTAGAAGCTACAGTCTACAGCATAGAGCTTTGTGATTTGCAGCAAAAGCCACCAAACAGGAGGAGCAAGTCCAGCCCCTGGGATGCATCTCCGCACTGGCTGAAGGACTCTGGCTCAGCTGCTTCCCCAGAAGTCACCCCTGGTCCTGACAGCACCACGTGTCTGGACAATGGAAAGCTGAGTTGCTTTTGGTTCTCAAAACCAGTGGAGCAAAGCATGATGGGTCTCACCTGTAACTCCAACACTTGGAAGGCTGAGGCAGGAGGACTGCTGTGAATTCAAGGACAGCCTGACTGCAGGACAGAGTGGCATGCTGACACCCAGACTAGGTGCTCATCCTGGTGGGCTATTAGCACAAGTCTTTGGGACCTTCCTGAACATCAAGCTGGATGCCTGCTCTCCAATCTGCCAGGCTCTGCTAAGGACAGGGAGGCGCTTCACTCTGCGTAGACACCTGATCTCACGGGATGAACTAACATGAAACTGCTTCAGCCTCAGGGTGCACTTCATGAATCCTGGGCCTCCTGACACCTGAGGAAGGTCTCTTTGACAAAGTGAGCTCAGAACTCAGGGCCGGTCTCTTGCTCATGTTTCTTCCCCGTGGCAGAAAATGGCGCTAATGGTTGTGGGTGCATCCCACATGGCTCCCAGCACAATGGACAAAATCTCCGAGGAAGACTGGCAGGTGAGGTCTATCTAAGCCAACTGTCTGCTTTGGATGGATCCGTCTGGTCAGGATTCCATGTCTGGGCAAGTTGACCAGGATGGCATGTGCTGAAGGCCCTAGGGAAGGGGGGCAGAGTGAAGCAGGCAAGCTAAGCCTCCCCTACACCTGACAGAGGTGGGTCCCATCTCTGGAACACGATCACCAAAGTTCCCCCAGTCAAGAAGGCACCATCCTCCAGTTCACTTGAACAGACATTTATTGAGCACCTACCAAGTGCAAGGCACTGTTAGGTGCCACAAGAAATACAGAGTGACCATAGGGTCCCTGCCTGCGAGGAGCTCACAGTCTAGAGGGAGGCAACACAGTACACAGTTGGCTGCAGCTACACTTGCTGGAGAGGCAAGAGCCAGAAGCGAGACACCAAGTGCTGTGGGGGTCACAGAATACCACAGGGCTGCTTCTGTTCAGGGCACAAGACTCAGGGCTGGGCCTTTGAGGAGGAGGGCTATAGGGCAGAGGGCCATTTCTAGAAGAGAAATAAGCATGGATAGGGCCCCTGGGAACCCAGATCTGGGTGGCGGGTGAGCATCGTGGCAGGGATAGACAGTGGATAGTGAAGAACGGCCATGGGGCAACAGCCATGGGTGCTCGGCTCAGAGGACAGGAACTCGATGCTCTGGTGGCAGCTGTAGGTCACTGAAGAGGAGGAGGAGGACACAAAAACAGTCTTCTAGATGAACCTGAATGAGCTCCCTGGAGTCTGGGAGAGGGGAGTTGTAAAGTGGCCTAGTGTTGAGGGACCTGTGAGAGAACAGTGTCACGGGGGATTGTGGGAAGTGGGGTGCAGTAGCAAGCCAAGGGCCAAGAAGGATACAAGGGAATACGTGATAGAAGATGACAGAACGGAGGCCGAGCTCCTGAGGTTCTGGGAGTCACGATCCCATAGGCTTAGTGACAGGATTAGTGTCACCACCACTGAAGGTGACATTAGCTAGGAGCGGTGACCTCCTACAATAAGTGCAGCTTCTCAAAGTGCAGTTCCAGGCCACCAACTGGGAGCCACTCAGGGTGTGTGGAAGGGACAAGCCTCCAGGCTTTCCTCTACCGCAGAGCCCACAACTCAGGGTGTGTGTGATAGCCTGCATTTTAGCAAGGGCTGCCCTTTTTGCTGGCGTCCTAAGGGTGGCCCAGTTTTAGAGCCGCCTGTGGAGAAACTGCATTAAGGATTGCCTTCAAGGAGAAGAAAGGAATGCAGAGCATCCAGAAGGAAGATGGAAGAAATAAGGCCAATGGCCTCCCTGTCTGTAGCTGTTACATTAACAATGAAACGGCAACCAGTGATTGCCCAGGCTCCTCCCATGAGGTGAGCAGAAGCCAAGTTTGCAAACTGGGGAGTGAAAATGTGGGAAGGTGGAGTAAAGCATCAGCAACAAAATGCAGGGCGTTTTAACCTCAGGGATCAAAGGGAACAGGAAGGTGGTAATGCCAGTGAACAGTGCAACTAATGGACCCAGCTGAGATGGCTCAGAGTGCTGAGGATGGGGACGCATTGGAAGAGATGCGAGAGGCAGGCTAGGACCAGGGTGAGCATGGTGCAGAGGCCACAGGGTCTGCAGCCATTGCCCCTACCAGGGGGAGGGACTCAGTACTTGGCAGTGGCAAGAAAGGGTGGAGTCTTCTTTCTTGCTTTACACATTCACAAGCCTGTGTAAACACAACTCCATCCTGTCTCAAAGCTGAGCCTGCCAACCATGGTGCCACCACACTGGACCAGGACAACTCCTGCGACACATGCACGCATGCGCACAGCGGCTGGAAGTCCATCGGCTACACTAATTACTTATCCTTTCAACCTCTGCAAGCATCAGATACTTGACCAATGTCCAAAATGATCAGCCTCGGCCACGTTGACCACCTCACCCAAATGTCAGGATATGCAGGAGGCAGAGGCACTCCACATACAGAGGAATGCCAAGACACTCTACAGTTCACTGTGGAGGCACTGAGGGGTGGAGGCTGAGCATCTACAAGCACCTAACAGCAACAGAGCTTGGGATGAGTCAGAGAAGCAGGTTGTGAGCTTCCTTCGGTGGCTGGATAAGTGGGATTTGAATGCTACCCCTAAAGGTGATGAATTTCACAGAGAGTCTAGAATTATATTTCACATTATAATCTACACAGTAATTAATGCCTCTCGATTTCCTCCAACTTTTCTTCCCTCCTATATGGGGAAGGGGACACGGGCAGGAATTTCAGAAACAATACTAAGAACACAGGCTACACAACAAAGTCAATCTGTCTGGAGAGTCTGGGAAAGCTCGTGCTCCTTGCTCCCTGCCAGCATCAGGATGTGGCCCCTGTGCTCTACAGAGTACCGTGACTCTCCTGGTTCCCGGGAATGCTGGACTGGAACTGAGTAGAACAGGAGGTCCTGGGGACGGCTCCACCTTGGCACCTTTACTGTGCTCAGAAGCTGGGGCGCAAGGCTGTAGTGAGTCTACTCCAGGACCTTGCAAAGTCTGTTTTCTACTTTCACTGCCTGCAGGTCTCAAAAGCCCAAGTGACAGATGACAAACGACTCCCCAGCAGGTTACATCGTCAATGAATTCAGGAGAACATGACTGAAGTACAACCGTGACCACCTAGAAAACTCTGTATTCATCTCCTGAGGGATGCAGGGATCAAATGAAACCAAGTATATGCATGGTGACAGCATCCCGGGATCTACATAGTCCCTGCACCACAGAGAACCAACCAGCACTACATCCTCAGTCACTAACTGTGAGACCAGGAGAAAGACACAATCCACAGAGCAGTGGAATTGACCATGAGGGCTGGGACACAGCATGGATGGAAAACACAGAGCCCTTAAAAGGTCTAGGTGAGAGTCAAGATGCTAAGAACGACCAGGAAATGTTTCACAGACACAGAATTCAAGCTACACTCAGAAGAGACGATACTGAGATAACTGAAAAGACTCAGGAAGAGCGCCTAAGAGATTTCTAAAGACAGAAGAGGGGACAGCAGGGCTTGGAGATCCCTTCTGAAACTACTAATGCTATTTATTGGCTTGGGTCATCCTTGAGAATAGAAAACTTTTTGGCAAAGCTGTACAAACTCCACATGGGATTCTTCCCCATACTTGTGGGCTGTGGACTCATGCTGGCCACAGAAGGGAGTTCCTTAACAGACTCTCCAATCCTACCTCACCTTCTGAGGTGACAGTAGCTGTGGAATCAGATCAGGAACATGGCAGCCTCAGCTGGGGAGGGCATTAGGGAGCTGGGCCAATCAGGGAGTATGCTGGGACTCATTTCCCTTCTCTGTCCAGTGGAGAGGAATAAGGATGGGGCTGAATGGACTGAATTGTCACCCTGCTCTTCTGAGTCTGATTTTGTCTTGTTGCTGACTACAGCCAGGCACCAAGTGCCATCTAGTGGCTCCACGTCTCCACTCTCACGACAGCCTGCTGAGAAGACCCAGAAGAGTGGAGCAGGCCAGCTCCAAGGAGGGAGGCAGGGGGGCACACACCACGTGAGTGGACAGAACAGATCACCTCAAGAAAATATACTTTAAGAGGGCTTGCTTTCCTTAAGGAAGCAATTCCCTTTTTTTTATTTTTTTAATTTTATTTAGAAAGGCTAACCATATTCATTTGTCAATTTTTCTTCAGCTTTAAGGAAAACAGTTTAAAAAACATGAAGTTGTAAATACACTCAAGAGTAACTGCTATTAAAAAGTTCTGAACAGGCAGAAAATGTACTTTTCTTTTACAGAAAATGTTCAGTCTGTAATAGCAGCATAATTTATATATAGAAAAAAGCTGGCTTTGAAAATCCAGACTTTTGTATATATAAAACACATCCCTTCCTTCTCCTACTGAGAGCAGCACTGTGCACTCTGAAAAGCTTCTCCCCAGTACGGGACTCCACAGTAGGCAGCTCCTTCTGGTCCCCATCAGCAGTGGGCTCTCAGCCCAGCCTTCAGTCCAGGACCAGGGCAGAAAGGGCATTCAGGTCTTTCATGTATGGATGAGCTACCAGGATCTGGTTGATCTTCAGTTTCTGCTCAGAGTCAGGGAAGATCTTCAGCAGGGCCGCCCTCAGCTCGCTGGTCTCTGCGGAAGATCTCTGTGCTGGTACGAGAAGGTTCTGCTGCATACTGGGAACGGTGGCCAGGGGTGTAAAGTGGGGCTGCTGAGGAAGCCAAGGGCCTGAAGAGGCTCCCTGGTTCCTGGAGGGAGGCTGGTGGCTGGTGTTGGCTACTTGGGTGTTGGGGCTCCGGAAGCCAGGATTGAACATGCCTACATCTGGCAGGGCATTGAGTAGTGGCTGCATGTCTCTGTGGATAAAGTGACCATGGAGAGAGCGGCAGTGAGAAACCCCGGAAAGCATGTAAGGCTGACACAGAGGATCTAGATGCTAGCTAGTTCCATGTTTTCTGAAGGCCAGAGAGCCAAGAGGATGTGAAATCAGACCCCACAGAGTGGCTGACAGGGCACCCGGCACCATTTTCAGACCAATGAGGAAACAAGCACCTCTGGGACGGACAGCCCCTCCCAGTCTGCTATCTGAGGGTGGGCCAAGGTTGTTGCTTCTACAAGGTTCCTGCTCCTCTGGAGGGTTTTGTTCTAGGCAGTGTCAGCTGACTGGGGAGAGGAATCCTTCTGGGCAGAGGCAACTCCAAGAGGCTCCTGGAATCCCTGTCTCCAGTGAGGTTTGGGTGGGGCAAGTGTGCTCTGAATGTCTGTGCATGTGGTGTTGTCTAAGCATCCAGGGACACCTCTCCTGCTTAAAAACTCCCACCAATTTCATCTGTAGCTGAGAACTGGGGCTAACAGTGCCATCAACGTCAGAAGCTTGACAGCCTGCAAAAACTCCATTAACATTAGTGGCATCCCCTCAGGAAGGAGTGACAGCTAGTGGCCACCAAGCACTTTGAAGATGACACTAGGTGAGAGGAAAAAGGACCAGCAGGGCTGATCCTGCCACCAGGCTACTGAAGGAGTGGAATAGGTAGCAAAGAATTCACCTCTAGTTTGACCTGGACCTCAGCTTAGCATGGGGCCCACACAACAGCCTCAAACACAGGCCTTGAGGCCTAAAATCCTATGAGGATTTCCCATAGAAGATGTGGGGTTGAGGGGTTTGACTGGAAAAGCCTACAGCAGGCTGCCATGTCCTTGGCCTGAGTCAATGCCTCAAACAGTGTGATAAAACCCAATGGCTCCCAGAGAAATGATAACAAGGCCACGACTTTCCAAGTGTGTCAGTCTCCACTGAAGAAGATCCCTGGGTGAAAATCAACCCACTGCGGTGCACCACCAAGTTCAAACTGATGATCCCAGAGGCTCAGGCTACAAATGACCAACTAGCAGTCTTGAAAGATGGGACAGAGTCCATGTTCTCCTTTTAGGTACCTAGACCAACCCCATGCAAAAACCTGCCAGGAGATGCACAGAAATATAGCTCACTTTTGTTTTAAAACAAAGGTCTGCCACTAGGTTAGCATGAAGGAGGCTGTGGTTAACAAGGTCACCTGAGAATTCTTACCGTAGACATAAACTCTACTTCTCAGTGCAGACAATAAAGCAAGCAGGCTTTCCCATGCAGAGCTGGTAAACAGTAGCTGTGGGCCCTCACCCCACCCCCACAGTGGTTCCTGAGCAGGACACAAGTTCACGGAAGGTCATTGGCTAATAAAGGAACTGCCTTGGCCCATTTTATTGGTTAGAGGATAGGTGGGAGGAGTAGGCAGAACAGGACGCTGGGAGGAAGAGGAAGTGAGCTCAGTCTTGACAGCTCTCCTCTCGGGAGCAGACGCCTGAGAGAGATGCCATGCCCCGCTCCCGGGATGAAGCTCCGACCCAGGATGGACATAGGCTAGAATCTTCCTGGTAAGCGCACCTTGGGGTGCCATACACAGATGATTAGAAATGGGCTAAATTAATATGTGAGAATTAGCCTAGAAGAGAATGGGCCAAGCAGTGTTTAAATGAATACAGTTTGTGTGTTGTTATTTCGGGCATAAGCTAGCCGAGCGGGTGGCCGGGGTGCTGGGAACGCAGCCCCGCCGCCCCCATACTACTACAGTTGGCACCCCACGTGATGGACTAAACCCACTTAAAAAACTTGAGAAGGCTTAAAAATAAGGGAAAGAGAGTTTAACACAGATTTTTGTTGTTTGTTGGTGGAGTGCTGTAGAGAGATTTCCTGATTCGGCAACAGTAGCAGAAAAAACGCTGTGTCATTTTAAAGCGCGACTTCCTGGGGCTGTGCCGCCATTGTGATCTCTGTCTGGCTCCTGCGGGAGACAGAGCTTTTGAATAGAGCATTTGGAGTAAAGTGATACGATTTGTTTGATGGCAACTAGACTCGCTGTGTTCTCGGGTCTGCTCTGCTTGTTAGAGGCAAGCATGCGCTTTCATCTAAGAGAGGCTTCCTGACTCAGCTTTAGCTGCAAAGCCTCCAGCTCATTAAGAGGTCCTGCCACGAAACACTTAAACGGTGTTGACGAAAAGCTGAATGCATGCTTTTCGGTTTTCAGCCGTAGCAGGAAAAAAGCTGCGCCGTTTAAAAATGCCGGCTTTCTGGGCCATCCTGCCAGGGCAAACTCTGACTGTTTGAGGCAGGAGGGCCGGCTACCGAGAGAGGACTTGAGTGTTGTCTGTTATAGCTCACTTGCTGGCAGGGACCTTGAAATGCCATACAGTTGTTACAGTAAACATGGCTACAGCCTGTATATCCGCCATGAGGCTGGAAAGCTAAGAAATGGACTGGATCTAGCTGGCAAAGCCACGCCTTTAGTCCTACTGAGATTGCTTGGTAAATTAAAGGCTCTTGTGGTCAGAAAAAGAGAGATATACAGTAAAGAGAGATTCAAAGACAAAGAAAATTTCTAAATGGTTTACTGTGTGTTAAAAATATATGCAGACTAAAAGTTGAAGTTCTTAAAGTAAAAAAAAAAAGGAAGAGAGTTGTTGTGTGTGGTGGTACACACCTTTAATCCCAACACTTGGTAGGCAGAGGGAGATTGACCTCTGTGACTTCAAGGCGTGGTAGCACACGCCTTTAATCCCAATGCCTGGGAGGCAGAGACTGGCAGATCTCTGAGAGTTCAAAGACAGCCTGGTCTACAGAGTTACTTCAGGTCAAAGATACAGAGAACCTGTCTCAAAAAGCAAAGAGTTAAAAGTAAAAATAAACAAAATAGAGATTAAAACAAAGCTGCACAAAGATGGAAAATACACAGAGAATTTTGATACTGTATGCTATTATGCTCTCTTTGAATTATTTGAATGCTGAGGAAGGAGCAACAGCTGCTTAAAGATATTTATTTATAAATGCTGCTGAACTAATCCAACATAGATATTTTGAATTTGGATCTAAGGATATGATACTTTGGAAAGGAGTTTCTTATTTTGTTTTCACAGAGGATGAGACGCTGTTCATTTCTTCTATTCCAATTTGGTATGATGGACCACGCCCTCCTGAAGGGTTGTTGTGAACATCTTCAGAAAATTGCTTCGCTCAACTGCCAACTGAGATGAAACTAACACACACGCTATACCATGAAAGACCTAATTAACGACGCCCCCATTCAGCAGGAAGCAGTTTGGAGAGAAATAACTGCGCCCATATTCCCAAAAAATGTTTATAAATGTTCTTTTACATTTAAAGGGGGATATGATATAGATATGAATAATTTACATTAGTATAGATTTTGCTTTATTGATAGAGATTTAAGGTCAATTTTGTTATATGTATAAGTGTTTCTGATTTTGATTAAGGTATTGTGATTGTGTAGTTCATTTAAATATATACTGTATAATTAAGAAATATAGGTTGTTAATGGATAATCATCGATAATAGTAAAGCTTGTAGTCATGTTAATTAGATTTTCTAGATATATAGAGATATATTTTAGATAGACATTCTTCATGTCTTTCAAAGATTATAGAATATGGCATTTTAAATGTTTTAATAACTTAGGACTTTTCATGACAATGAGACACTCTGCTCCTGGCAGCACCAATCTACTTCAAGAGGAAGATGGGCATCGAAGAGGCTTGTTATGGAGTTTGATAGCCATTTGGGCAAGAAACTGCTCTTGCCTGGAATATTGCATAAACTGGACACAGAGAACCCACAGAGAGAGGACTACTGAACTTGCCTAAGGTGAGATAATCTTTCGGGGTTCCTGATTCATGAAAGAGTCTGTGAGACATTCTGCAGGACACAACAGATAGTGACTGAACTGACTTTGAATTTTCCCGCTTTATGGAAATGTCTGCTGGATAGCATGGGCCTGAAGGCTGAAGATGTATGCCCCAACGGTACAGAGGAACTTTGGGTGACTGTCCAGGCAGCGAGATGTCTCTGTCATTTCTAGAGTTTTAAAAGTTGCTTTTTTCTTGTTTGCTTAGGTAGTATTGTATCTTTCTGGAGTCTTTGATGGAGTTAAGAATAGTTAGTTATAGTTATAGTTTTCCTTAGTTATGATAAAGATTATTGTAACTTTTACTTGATAACTGTTTTGTTATATGTAATTTTGCTATGTTAAAGTTAAAGCTTTTTTTTTTGTTTAAACAGAAAAAGGGGAAATGATGGAGGAAGGTCATTGGCTAATAAAGGAACTGCCTTGGCCCATTTTATTGGTTAGAGGATAGGTGGGAGGAGTAGGCAGAACAGGACGCTGGGAGGAAGAGGAAGTGAGCTCAGTCTTGACAGCTCTCCTCTTGGGAGCAGACACCTGAGAGAGACGCCATGCCCCGCTCCCGGGATGAAGCTCCGACCCAGGATGGACATAGGCTAGAATCTCCCCGGTAAGCACACCTAGGGGAGCAACACAGATGATTAGAAATGGGCTAAATTAATATGTGAGAATTAGCCTAGAAGAGGCTAGATAGAAATGGGTCAAGCAGTGATTAAATGAATACAGTTTGTGTGTTGTTATTTCGGGGCATAAGCTAGCCGAGCAGGCGGCCGGGGTGCTGGGAATGCAGCCCCCGCCGCTCTTATTACTACAACTGGACACTCAAGAGAAACAGCTGCACAAAGTGCATGGGAAAGCATCCCATAGAGATCCCAGGGAGCAGTGACCTACAAGTTAGCACCAGCTTGAAAACCTGCTTCTTCTGAGACCCTCATGAATGTCTGTGTGCTCTCAGAGTAAAATGAAAAGGATCCCCACACAGGGCAGGCCTAGACCCTGGCACATGAGGCAGAGGCAGAAGATCAGAGTTTGATCTTAGCCTGCTGACTCAGAGGAAACAGTCTAAGGCAGGCAGGCAGGCAGGCAAAACAACACTGAAAAAGACGACAGTGAAGATTAGCCTTGGGCTGCTTCCATGACTGGCTTCTATACGGGTCACACATCGCTAAGTCTAATTACGGCCTAGAAGACATTCAAATGCCATTTCTAGTTTTCAAGGACAGCATTTGTTGCAAAGCACAACATTTGGTTAAAATAAAAAACCCTTTGACATACAAGGGGATACACAGAAATACCTAAGAAAGCCCTCCTTTCGAAGAAATTCATCTAGCCGAGGTCCGTTTCTTCCCAGAGGGTCATCAGGAACCATAAATATGTCCCCCACGAACGTGTACTGAAGCAGCCTACAACACAGAAAGTCACAGTGCTGACCATCAGTCCCCTTCACTGCTGAGGAAATGGAACATTCCTCACAGGAGACACCCCATTTTGGGACAATGGTCAGCCTGAACATTCCCAGTGCTATCTGCCTGGAGAGGAAGCAACCCCACATACAAGTGAAAGCGTTCTAACTTCTGTTGTGGACACAGTCCTGTGAGAAGCTCTTCTCAGCTGCCTGCAAGTCTCATCCAGACACCAGCCAGGTATTCTGTTTTCTACCAGATGAGAAAACACAATTAGAGACATTCAGCTTGGGACTCAGCAGGTGTGCCAAAGTGAAACCAAAAAAAAAAGAACATGTTCATAGGCACACCTCTGATTTGGAAGAGAAAACATCATCCTCAGCAGAGAAAGCCAAGGTTGACCTAGTATTACTCATCCAGGACAGGGACCTGGGCCTGCTCAGCAGGAAAGTCTTGCCAGAAACACAGAACACCGTGGGGTCTAGAAATAAAGAACTGACTGGGCATGGTGGTACATGATTTTAATCCCGCACTCCAGAGGCAGGAGAGATGGGGCCTGTGACAGCTATGTAGTAAGCTCCTCTCTCGAATAAATGAATAAATAAAATTAAATTAAACTTAAAAAATTCTAGCATCTATGTCTGTGATGTACATTTTGGTATCCAAGTTGCTTCTGTGAGGTGAGGTCTAAAAGCAGTGGGTTGGTGGAGCCTCCTTGTGTGCAGACTGGTGTCTAGCACAACAGTGTCTGAGAAGTTCAACAACTCATCAGCTGTGCCCACCAGGTCAAACTTTCCTCCACCCATTACCAACACCTTCTTAGTGACACAGAGCTCAAATGTCTCAAGTAATTTACTTTCATCCACGAGTCTGTAGCCAAGGTTTGTCTTTCTTCTAAAATTTTCAAGTTACATTGTTTCCTTATTTGTGTGCCCACAACTTTGGTTCTCTCTTTCCTGTGTGGTTCTGGAGACTTCCAGGTCCTCAGGCTTGGCACATCTCATCAGCCCAAGCTTTCAGAAACCCTGTTAGGACGTAGCAAGCTGTAAGTCTGAGACAAGAGCCGACTGTGAAATCCGAGAGACACGCGTGTCTAGATGTGTTGCTTACCCGCACTGCCCTGCACATTCCCTATTTGCTTCAGATCTACGGCAGATCTGCCTTCTCCCTGAGCACAGCACAGCACTCTTGCTTCTTGTGGCTAGCAGCCGCTCGAGTGTCAAGTCTTCGGTGGGCTCATGGAAGCCAGCATTCACCGCTCGTCAGCAGTTCATGACTGACACGTTCACAGCGGCAGCAACAAGGAAAGCTGCACGCTAAACTCCTGGAAAACACCAGCCATGGAAACTAGACTTGCCCGAGCCCGCAGTCAGGTGCCCCCTCCCTCGGCATATTGTTTTTGTGCTACGCTCCTGCTGGAGTCACAGCACCCAGAGCTGACACTTGAGATGGCTGAGGTCCGGTCTTACAGGTGCTCCTAGGAGCCCCCTTCACCCTCTCCTGGGCCTACCACCCGGCAAGCAGCACACCAGACAAAATGCAGATCACAGCAAAGGAAAACAAGATTACCTTTTTGTAATAATTTCTCTCCAGGACACCGACTCAGTCATGAACTCTCTGAAGTTATCATTTGTTACAATTGTGCCCCAAGTTTTGTCCGCTAAGTGTAGCAGGAACCTATGGTTACAAGAGAGTTCAACATGAGCAAACAGCACCCCTCGCTGAGAGAAGCTGGGCTATAATGAAATAAGAAAATAGCCACTTTAAACAAGGTTGGATACACAGAAGTCAGGTCCCGTCAACTGAAGATGGATAAAACAATAAGCATCTCTGGAATTATCAGTGGGATTATAAAACAACTTTTTTCATGCAGTCTAGTTTTACAAAAAATAATTTCAACTGATTCCTACATTTTCTAGAACAGATCCACAATAAACCGTGGTGACAATGCATGAAGACCTGAGCTGAGGACAAGCTAAAGGTAAGAGGCCTGTGAGATACTTCTGCTTCCAGTTGAGCCGAGGACAAGCTAAAGGTAAGGGGCCTGTGAGATACTTCAGCTTTCAGTTGCCAGGGTTAGTTGACAATCAGCTCTGCAATAAAGAACAATCAATTTTCTGCTTTGCTTCAAGAAGACATCGTCATTTTGGCCTAAAGATAGATAGATTCGCTCAATTACAAAGGAACGCATGGTGACGAGGAGCCTTTTGTGATTTTAAACAAGTGGTAGCACAGCTGGGGTCAAACTAAGGGCCTGACAGGTGAGGCAAGCACAGGTGGGGGCACAGTAAAGAAACCAAGATGGCTGCTCCGTGGTTGGATGGCTGGGGGAAGGTTTTACATTGTTGGATAGGAGAGAGAGAGCAGCCAGATGCATCTAGAAGGGTCCAGAGCAGAGAGAGAAACGCAGACTGCTGTGGATACTTCTCAGGTGTGTTGGAGGGCAGGGGTCAGTGGAGACATGATGATAAAGAGAAGCTGAAAAGAATAAATATCGAGACGGCCTTGTTTGCCATTCCAAGAGAGTGGTCCCCAGTCTGGAAGCATAGTGCAGGGGAGAGGGAATAGTGAGATTAGCAGGGGGCTCGGATATTCATAACACATACAAGTTACTAGGGACTGGAGGAGCCTGGAGGTTAGTTTTGGGCTTGCTATGTAACCACAGACATAGCCAAAGGAAGCAGCTCTTTCTGCTAGGCAGGAATGCTGCACATGGGAGCCTTCATCTCTGACAGCACTCCTTCTACAGTCCAGCTTAAGCAGACTGTATGACCATGACTGTCATTTTGGGGTCACCCACAACCTTCTGGAGAACTGGGGATCCCTTTGGACTCTATCACTAAACTCCTAGCCCTATGTGTGAGAGGGTCTTAACTGTCCTAGGTCAGCCTTGAACTAAAGATGACCCTGACCTTTTGGTGCTGGGATTTCAGGTGTGTTCCAGCACACTGGGTCTCATGTACACACAGTGATGAAAGAGAGTAAGAATAAAGTATTTTGTTTTGTTGCTGAAGATAACCCCTGTCTAAACCCTCTTAAAATATCTGTGAGTAGCCAGGCACAGTGGTGCACATCTTTAATCCCGGCACTTGGGAGGAAGAGGCTGGCAGCTATCTGTGAGCTTGAGCACAGCCTGGTCTACATAGTGAGTTCCAAGAACAGTCAGGGCTGCCTACTGAGAAACTATCTAAAATACAAGACAAAACAACAAACACTGTGAAAGGAATGGAAGTGTTATTTCTTGAGCATGAACAAAGACAGTGAAACCAAAGCCCCAATCACTGGACTCTAAGGTGCAGGCGGCCGCTCGTCTTCCCTGTGGCAGCAACTCCTAGGCGGGACTGAACACAACAGATTCCAAACTCTGAGGAACTTGGGGAAGTTAGATTTGTTTTTCTTTTCACCACCACCCTCACTCCCCAACAGGAACTCACAAATTCCAGGCTAGCTTAGAATTCACTATGTAACTGAGCATGACTTTGAATTCCTGATCCTCCTGCTTCTACCTCTAAAATGCTGGGATTACAGGTTGGAGCCACCACACTTGGCTAAGGTCCTTGTTAATAAACATTTCAGTTCACTTCTAAAGGGCATGACTTGTCAACGGTGCTATGTGCATCAATGAAAGGAGATAGTGAGGCTTTCCACCAGGACACATAACTATACTCTCTGAAACCCAGAGAGCAACGTAAACCAAGAGGAAGTTTCATCTGCATGCCTGTTCCTGTGAGAAAAAGGCTGTGGTCGTAGAGGCCTGAAGGCTTTTCTTGTGCCTACTGACCTACTTGCTTTTCCACCCAAGCACTTCGGGGTTCCTGAGCCTGTGACGATGTGGACAAGAACTGCCCTTCCAGGACAGAGTCCCAGGAAAGCTCCCAACCCGTGTGCTGCCCTCCCTCAGCTCTCCTCACACGCTCTTTGACAGTACCTTGAATGCACCCCATCTAAGCTCATCTCTTTCCTATCGGTGAGGGAATGTCTGCAGTGCTCCTAGATCACCTCTTTCCCATTCCAGCACATAGCAGGGTGGGTAACACGGGAAGCACTGTCTTCACTGGAAGGGGTGGGAACGCACAGAACAAGGCAGAGAAGGGGAAGACAGCCCAAGGGCAACAGACACCACGCTTGTCACTACTTACACGACAACACCAGAATAGAGTTGCAAAAACTACATATCACTGGGGAAGCTTGGAATCTAAATTCCTCCTTTTGGGAGGTGGGAATCTCACCAGGTAACCCTGGCTGGCCTGAAATGCAGAGATTCACTCAGATCTGTGATTTACATAGTGAGTTATAGGACAGGGCGGCATGGTGAAACTCTGTCTCAAGGAGGAAAAAAAAGGAATAAAAAGGAAAACCAACTACATATATTTGCCTTTTCTCACTTCAGACATACTTTACTAAATTAAATAAAATCAAACTTAACACAATGGTGTCTTCTGTGCCATTCCTAACCCCATAGAATATATAAGCTTAGTAGTGACTTTGATCACGAGTTTTAAAACTGAGCAAGCAGGTCCCTTCAGAGTGCACACCAGCCTGGTGGCAGGCAGCTGGCTCCTTACCACCTCACTCCCACCTTGGGAAGGAAAACAGCCCTTCATACCTGTCATCATGAGAAGCGATCCGTTTTCCAAAGACCATCTGGGCAGGAGTTAAAGACAATATTCCAAGCTCCTGGAGCTGGGTTAAGCAGTGCTGTTCTGTTGTGGAGGAAGTTGATGTGGGTTCAGTAAAGGCCATCTTTCCCAGATGTGTAAACAAATGGACACAAACCCAAATACTTCACTTGGGGACTTGCAGAAAACCTCCTTTTCCTACTGACTCAATTTTACTAACTACCAGATCAAGTAGAAAAAAGAAAATCAATTAAGACTCATACTAAGACAAACCCTGCATAGGAACTGACTGGGTAGTTTTTAAACAAACAAACAAACAAACAAACATTAAATTCATTTCCTCTTGAGACTAAACCATAAGCCTGTAATTTATTAATGCTGCCCTCAAGAACTCTTCCAAAGGTATATATGACAAATAGAATACAGAAAGGGAAGTGACAAGAGTCCCCCAAAAGTGGGAGTGCAGAGGGGAAGAGCCCTCTAGATGCAGAGGCAGCAGCAGGAACAAACCTCTTTGCTCCAGTCAAGAAAGGCTAGCCTTCTCTCCCAATTAATCTCAGTTTTCTGTACAAGCCTGATTGTCCCAGGCACACTAGTGACAAGAGGGAGGGCTGATGCTCTTCTGTGGGAAAGCAGTCACAGGCAAGAGAAGCTGAGACCTAAGATTCCTGGGTTTGCATTTCCTTCCAAAGCAGCTGCCAGTGACCTGAGCTGACCTGCCCACACTGGCACCTTGCAGCTGCCCAGTGCACATGCAATAAGACTCTGCTAGGCAGTGAGTGAATCCACCTAGCTCCTCCAGGACCTTCTGTTCTGACATCTCCCAGATAAAGAAAGCTGGAAACACTTGGAAGTGGAGTGTACTGGACTGGCTTCAGCACTAGACTTCACTTCCTGTTTCTGAGCTGGACAAATGTTCCCCTCCGCCACGTGCTACCTCTCCTTTCTAGGAGCCCTCGTGTGCTGTGCCTGCCACAGCCTCCCCCCCACCCCATTTGTCTATGATGACCCAGGACAAAAACAACCTTACGTTCTCTGGAGTATTTTACAACACAGTAAGTCCAAACTTCCTGTGTGGGGGCTGTAGGTTATGCACAAAGGACCCAATGGCAAACAGAAATGATTCCTAATAAGCCCTCAGACTACTGGAAAGACGTTATCTGAAGACAGAAAACTGGCCAAGTAACTATTTTAAAGAAACATTATTTAAATATTCCAAAGCCTAACCTAGTGGAGACACCTAACTTCTCACAGCAATGCTAGCCTTCTACCCTTCCTAACCACTCCCTTTTATAATACAACACTCTTCAACTGAAAGGCATGTCTATCCCAGGCCAGTCTCAGAAACTCTACTGTGTAGCCAAGGATGGCTCTTGCCCTCCGCTCCTTCCCGAGTGCTCTGGCCCTCCACTCCTTCCTGAGTGCTCTGATCCTCCACTCCTTCCCGAGTGCTCTGGTCCTCCACTCCTTCCCGAGTGCTCTGGTCCTCCACTCCTTCCTGAGAGCTCTGGCCCTCCACTCCTTCCCGGGTGCTCTGGCCCTCCACTCCTTCCCGAGTGCTCTGGCCCTCCACTCCTTCCCGAGTGCTCTGGCCCTCCACTCCTTCCCGAGTGCTCTGGTCCTCCACTCCTTCCCGAGTGCTCTGGCCCTCCACTCCTTCCCCAGTGCTCTGGCCCTCCACTCCTTCCCGAGTGCTCTGGCCCTCCACTCCTTCCCGAGTGCTCTGGCCCTCCACTCCTTCCCGAGTGCTCTGGCCCTCCACTCCTTCCCGAGTGCTCTGGCCCTCCACTCCTTCCCGAGTGCTCTGGCCCTCCACTCCTTCCCGAGTGCTCTGGCCCTCCACTCCTTCCCGAGTGCTCTGGTCCTCCACTCCTTCCCGAGTGCTCTGGTCCTCCACTCCTTCCCGGGTGCTCTGGCCCTTTACTCCTTCCCGAGTGCTCTGGCCCTCCACTCTTCCCGGGTGCGTTACGGGTGTGCACCACCACACCGAGTTTTCAACTCGTATTTTACCAGACAGAAAC